TGTTAATAAGTTAAGAAAACTCAGTAACATTAAAGATTTCACATTTGGGGAATGTTGGGTGTCTTGGTCCATTTCCTTCCTTCCCACTTGCACCTTCTATCCCCATTGTTTTTCTCAGCCTTCATCATCAGCCACCCATAATACTCTTATTTTTCCATTGGTTTCTCCTGCTTTTACACTCCTTTTCTTTCTGCTTTCTATCTACTATCATGATCACCAGTGCCAAATTTGACTTCTGCACCCTTCCAGCTTCTGCACCTCCATAAGTAGCCTCAGTCTCACTCGCTGTCATACTCAGAAGCTTAGTCCCTTGGGTGTGCACTAATGCAATACACTTAATTCTGTCCTCACACCCTCAATGGCAGCAGATCGTGTGAAGCGTTGACTATATGTGGCAGGGTTGTCAGTTCCACTAACAAGTGTGAGACTCCAGATAAAACCAGAATTGCCTTGCCACCGCATTCTTAACATTCCCCTGAATGGGAACATTAAAAAGAGTGAGATGATAAATCTTCTGGTGTGCAGTGATGGCTTCTTGAATAAGGATCTAATGACTAAACCGGAGTGACATTTTATTTGCCAAAAAATTCAGTCTTGGTTGATCTGAAATTGTGAATTGACCAATTAATTTGGGCTGGGAAAAGGTTTTTCAGGGCCAGCTCAAAAAACTTTGCATGTGTGCTCCCCACTCACAATAACATTTAGCCCAATGGTTAGGGCACTTGGCTGGGTGACACCCAGATTTAAATCCCCACTCTGAAACAGGGGCTTGAACTCAGATCTCTCCCCACCCAGGTGATCATCTTCCGCACCAGACTGTAGGCTATTCTCAGATGCATTGCTCTCAATCTCTCCTGTTGAAGCTTCCCACTTTGTATAAATATCTAATTATTCATTAGAGCAGAGTCTTGAACTCCATTCTCTCCCCTGTCAGGTGGGTGCCCTGCCCACCAGGCTATTGTCTATTCTCCTCTTAATCTCTTCTCTTGATACAGTTCCACTTTGTATTCCTTGGGCCACAGAGAGTAAGAACAAGAATGGCTGTTTTGCCTGGTGACTAAGGCATGCAGGAGATGTGGATTCAAATCTTTTCTGTGCCTGATTTAGAAGAAGTAAGTGAAGTAAGTGGAAAATTCCTTGTGGAAGAGAAATTTTGACTCCCTGAAAAGAGACCAGCAGGATTTACCTGGGTATCCAATCACTTGAGACAGTTTTTTGCTGGATGTAATTTTGCAAATGCTGTGGTGAAGAGAAAACTTTCTTCACCTCTGCACTGCCACCATTACAGAACTGAATTAAAAAATATATCAATTTGACTTGGCTGCACATGTTTGGTCAGTTGCAGATGATTTTGTACGCATGAATGGTGGTAGGTGATGACAATTAATAGGATGCTTAGAAAGATTATTGATTAACAGTCACACTAACGATAGACTGGGTTTCTGTCTTCAGGGTCTTCTCCCTTGGAGAAATCTGAAATCAGTTGGATCCTGCGGTCTTCATGATTAGATTACTGAAATAAATTCTCTATCCGGATGGAAACAAGGATGAAATTACACCTCAAACTCAATTTAGTGATGATCTGATCCTAATGAGTATTTAAAAATTACACTCAATACCCAGTTCCACTTAAAATGAAAAACAGATGTGTGCCCAGGTATACATGAGAGCCAGGGATAAATTCATGGTTGTCATGGTGGCCATGAGATCCAAAGGCAACGTAAAAGAGCCCTTGCCTGCATGGACATTAAGTCACCTAGAACAATAATCCTGGGTGCCTGCAGTGATAGATTGGACAAGAAATTGGTTTGTTTTAGTTGGAGTTCTGTGGTGCTGCTGGGTGGCTTGGGACATCCCAGTTATTTCCACCTTTTCCCCATTCCATGATTTTAGCATGTGGTGAGTACTCTCAAATGAGTATGAACTCAAGATGATCAACCTCCAGCATGCAAGTAACATGGGTGTATACTGCCTTTCTGTCTCTCTTGGTTGATGTTGCATAATTAATATTTTAAAGATATATCTTCAATTGGGGGCTTTAGTTGTTGTATGTCTGAATTAAGCTAAATGTTAAAATGTGTGCTCAGAAAGTGTGGGTGACCAGGTGTACCAACCCTTTACAGTTTTGGATAGGCCAGTATTGTCCTCTTAAAGTTTTCCTAAAACTTACTTGTGGGACTGGTGATGAGGTTTGTGAGGCAGAAGAAATGGTCTTTGGGGTATGGAGAAACCCACTTTACTAATGGTTTAGGGCCTGTGAGCAGGGTGAATTTGATCTTCCTTCACCTCATAGTGGTAAGGAATTAAGCTGGTGCTGTGTGTTTCCAGACAGCCTCTCTCTCACTAGACCAGGAGAGCATGGCAGAGTGGGAGCTGTAGTTCCTGTGGCAAACGGGATTGTAGTCTATGACTCTAGCAAAGTCTGCTGGGAAAAGGGGCTGGGTATATAAAAAATTCCTGTCCCACAGAATGGGGAAGGAACTGGAGAAAGCTGAAAGAGTCAATGATCTCTCATAGAAGAACAGGCAAGTAACCCACTTGTTTGTTTGCTTTTTCCGTTATATGCAACTGTGTATAATTTAAGAAACACTTTGTTTAGTCTGAGGAGGGCCAAGCCAATTTAAGAAAATGACTGGGAAAGAAAGCCAGTGTCATGGGAAATTAGTTCTGTTACCAGAAAAAAAACAAAACAAAAAACAAAACAAAAAAAACCCACCAAGGGTGTGATCCATTTTTTGTTTGGCCTGCCACATTGTGTTAGGTATAATTATAGATAGAAGGTGATATTTGAGAACATTCAGATAAAGCAAAGAAATTACCAGAGGCAAAAAAGATTAAATTCTTAAAACTGCAATGTGCATAGTTGATTACTTCCAAGCAAAAGATGCACTGTCAGTCACCGTGTCTGATTTGTAAGATGTTGAAAATTACCCAGTAGATGAAAAACAAACTTAATTTTACAATATATATAATATATTTAATTTGCTAGTTGCCTTTCAATGCCTTTTGACGTGTGATTGACTAACGCTTGTGTTTTTTAACTTCAGTACTGAGCCTAGAGTGTTTTGAGAGATGCAAATGGAAACAAACAGAAATAAATGATATATCTTGCAAAATCACAATTTCAGTTGAAATAATGGAAAAATTCACGTGCTTAAATATAGCAATTCTTGTTTTATAATACTTTTTGCTTTAAGGTACTTCACATTCATGCATATGTTTTAAAAAAGAAACATTAAATCATCAAAGATACAAGTTTTGTGGGGCTTTTTTGGAATGCCTAAAGAGTTGCTGATATATCAGAGAAATCTTAGAAAAACATTGTTTATCTATTTACAGGAAATTCTGCATCTGAATGATATATTTTTTCTGTTTCACTTTCATCTGAGGCCTATTAAAAAGGTTCTTTTTGGGAAATAGGGATTTTTAACCTAATGCAGGAGCTTGTGCCTCTAGCTTCCCCAGCCATATAAACTTCAGAGGTGAAGTCCTAATTCCATCAGAGTCAGTGGCAAAACTCCCACTCCTTTCAATGTGGCCAGGATTTCACCCCAGAAGCCTGTAGATGCAGGTACCATTGAACATAGATTACCAGTCTCTCCCATGTCAATCCTATTCAGGAGGAGGAGCGGTCATATGAATGAGCACTCTGTTTCCCATACTACGGGATTTCCATATTGAATCCTTATAGAATCATAGAATCATAGAATATCAAGGTTGGAAGGGACTTCAGGAGGTCATCTAGTCCAACCCCCTGCTCAAATCAGGACCAATTCCCAACTAAATCATCCCAGCCAGGCCTTTGTCAAGCCGAGCCTTAAAAACCTCCAAGGAAGGAGATTCCACCACCTCCCTAGGTAACGCATTCCAGTGCTTCACCACCCTCCTAGTGAAATAGTGTTTCCTAATATCCAACCTAGACCTCCCCCACTGCAACTTGAGACCATTGCTCCTTGTTCTGTCATCTGCCACCACTGAGAACAGCCGAGCTCCATCCTCTTTGGAACCTCCCTTCAGGTAGTTGAAAGCAGCTATCAAATCCCCCCTCATTCTTCTCTCTGCAGACTAAACAATCCCAGTTCCCTCAGCCTCTCGTCATAAGTCATGTGCTCCAGACCCCTAATGTTTGGTCTGTCTGTTTTCTCTAGTTGTGATCCAAGTTCAATTCTCCGAGCCTGATCTCGAGAAGAGATTTGAATTTGGGTCTCCCACATGGGATATCCTGGTGTAGGTATCTCTCAGTGTCTCCTGTGGAAGCTGTTCCACTGTGTATAAAAAAATTAATAACTGGTGTAAAGACATAAACTTGAATCTCCCACTACCTAGATGAGTGCCCTAACCACCAGGCGATAACGTCATTCTCAATAGCTATCTCTGGCCCAGTGTGGAACAGCTTCAATAGGAGAGACTGAGATAGACCCACTCCTGATTACCCTAGGGTATTCTTCTACAATATGGGAGACTCAACTCCATGTTCCTGATCCAATGACTATTTAATTAGCTATACACAATTTAATATTTGGTGGGAGAGGGGAATTCGCCCAGCTCTAGTTCTGAAAGGACATTGGCTATTCCTTTCCTGAGCTCAAAGTGCCCCACAGTTTTCAGTCACGATTTTGGGCACAGTTTCCTAGCAGACTCTGTAATGAAACCTCAGTGTCTTAACAGACTTCCAGGCATTTGGGAGGATTTAATAAATAGTTATAACAATAATTTTATGCCTGTTCTCTACTTGTGTGATTAATAAAGTTGTGACTTTCCTCCCATAATAAATTATTCCTTTTATTAAACTAAAGGTCTTGTGATGCAATAAAACTAGTATTCTAATGATATTGAAATCTATCTGTAGCAGACATAAGATAAACAATGTTTGTTTTTTAAATTAAATACGTGGTGCTCTCCTGCAATTTGTGTTACAGAGGTGTTGTAATGGCTTACCACACTGACTGAATTCTAGGTTATTTCAGTTTACACTTTTCTTATTTTCTTTAATACTATAGGAAATTCCACCACCAGGTTCCTACGAGGTTCAAAAATCGTTTGAGAAATCACATAGTAAAAGCCACTATATGCCTCCCCGAACCACACTGGCTAAAAGAAAGCATACCTCTTTTCTCAGTGCAACACCTAGAAAAAATGTACCCAATACTGACAAAGATGTACCAGGTAAGTTTATTACTTTCTTTCCTAATAAAACTGTAACTAAAACAACTAAAATATTATTCTCTTTCTTGAGAACCATTCCAAAAGGTTAGTGTTAAGTCATTTAGGTCAAGTGATCTTAGATTGGGATTTTCAAAGGAGCCTAGGGAAGTTAGACACCCGTGTCCCATGGGATGCAAATCTGAGCCTTAATGCCAATCCTCCAATTTAGCGACCGGTAAGTAAAATAGAAAGCAAAGAATCAACACCTGTTAAAAATACTTTATTGAATTAAGCCACTTCTTCATCCCTGAGGGGATTAATCTGAGGCTATCTGGTGACTAATTTTGCTGGTCAAATGGAAATTGTTTAACTAATGAAATAACCAATATCACTGCATTTTAAGAAAATATTGTTTGTGGTGTTGCTGTAGCTATGATTTTTCCAAGATATGAGAGAGACAAGGTAAGTGAGGGAATATCTTTTACTGGACAAACTTCTGTTGGTGGAAGGTACAAGCTTTTGAGCTACACAGAGCTCTTCAGGTTTGGGGAAGGAAGCCAAGTGTTACCTTTTAAGAAAACCAACCAAATTGATAAGTGGGCAAACCATATGCCTACTTTATATTTCATTCTGCATGGTGACTTTGAACCTTGTTAACACAAAGATGTTTGTTTCCATTAAAAAAAATAGACCTTGTTTATGGCATATGAATTGGGTTTGATTTGCTTGTCAGACTGTTGACTTACTACTGATTGGGTATGAGAATGTTTAATACTCCACATGCTACATATTTGCTCATTAAGATAAAGTTCCTTAGGAAAATAGAAATATATTCTCAACTTCCAGTGAATAACTTGCAGGAAAAAAAAATCTTTGTAATTTGAGTCTCAGAAATCATTGCAAAAGCGCTTGTAAATCCATCTCTGCCTTTTATATAATTAATCATAGATCAGGGGACACAAATTAATGAGGACAGACAGATAGATTTTAAGCAGCAGGCTGCATCTTTTTTAAAATTGGAGAGGGTCACTATCTGCCTGTCTTCCCAAACCAGGCATTTACGTGAATTCAGTGTGGGGTTTACTGGGCATCTCTCATATAGCCCATAACTCAGGGTAGCTCTCCACTGCCTAACCCAAGGGTTCAGCTTGCTTAGCTAAATCCTCTTGTCTTCCCCTGCAAAAAGGTCAGAAGGTACCAAAGAGGGACCCCAGTCTGCAAGGACTTCAGAACTTTTCCCCATAGGCCTAGGGCTTACCAGTGAAATCCCATGTCTCTTATTTTCTGGTTGCTGGCTTTTTGGCCTTATATTCACACTGAACCCCGGCTGCAAGTTGCGACAAAACATTCATACAAATTCCTAATATTAAATTCCTAAATACTATTCCTAGATCCTATCATAATTGTGTTTATGACTGGTGCAAGATGCCTGAGAAACCCTGGGCTGGGCTTTAAATAAATGATTTGGGAGCAAGACCTAATCACCTCACATCTCTCTGGTTGGGCAGTAGGGCACTCGGGGAGGAGGGGCCTGTCCCTGTGTACACTCTCCTTTTATCCTTGCAGATACAATCAAGTTTCCTAGCCATTTAGTTAGAGGGGTGGCAAATTGTCACACTATTGCTAGCCATTGTATTCTGGTCCCCAGGTTTCTGTTTGACATGTGATACCTTCCCTCACAAACTGTGAGAAAACGGAACTATAATTCAAAGAGTCTGTGTGTTTTTAAGGAAGTTTGAGGTAGCAAATACAATTTCAAAAAATGAAAGAAAAGTAGAATAAATAGTAAGAAATTCTTTAAAGGTGTCCTAGAAATGTGTCAGTAAACAGCCAGAAAGTCTGTGTTTGTTCTGGAATATCAGAATAATAACCTTGGATAGAAATAGTTTATCTTAAAGGTTTATTAAAAAACAAAATCAGACAAATACAGGCTATCCAATAAACTACAAAACCTAGAGGCAAAATTCAGTGAGGTCCCGGTCTTTCAAGAATGTTAGCCATAGTGCTGACGTGAGGATCCACTTTATTTTGTAGCCTACATTAACTATTATTTTGAAACCTCTTTCCAGAGTTTTTCAAGTTGTTCTGACAAATTTTGAAATTAATGTATCAATACAAATTCCAATATTAAATCATAAGTTTATAATGGGATTGACAATGAGTTAATAGAGACTTTCACCTCCGGGTTACTTCTGCAAATCAAGCCCAAGTTGGTAATAACTTGAAAGTTGTATTCATCTGCTGCTTGCTTGATCATCTGTGTGAAATGAACTGACTGTCCAAGGCCAGGCATTTCCCAGTGATCAGGAATCCACATCACAAAACCATCACCAGAATTGTCAATAAACAGAACCTTTGGTGGTAGTCTCAACAGAGAGCCAAGGATTGCTTGGAGACAGAGAATTAATGAACCCGTTTGAGGCATTATGATGGGGCAATAAGAGAGAGCTTGCACTGACACTATTTATTTTATGGATATATAGAGGATTTTCAATTGCTAAGTTTCAATCGGCTAACCTTTTTTAAATGGAAAGGGTCAAAATAAACAGTAGAAAAAGTTGCTACTTTCTCCTGTAATACCATTATTTGGTTTGTGGATTAACAGTAATGATTTGTAGTTCTGCTTTTTCCCTTAACAGGTAGTGCTAGTAATTGCTGCATTTGGCTTAGCAAAAATAATTTGCTGTGTAGTTTTAGATATTCAGCCATATCAGTTACTGGCAGTTTCTATATATATATAGTGAATGTAAGTTCCAACAACTTTAAAATTACATGTAGTATGTGTCAATAAAATTAAAGTAGCTAGCCCATTTTCCTTTTTTTGCGGGGGAGAGGGGTAGATGGGGAAGGGAGGGTCAAAGAAACAGGAGAAAATATAGAAGCTTACAGGCAAACTCTTAAGCCTCTAGGAGAATTCAGTCAGAGGTAGGTTGATGTCACCAGCAGCATGAATGGTGGGCCCTCATGCCGACTAGGAGCAATGGAGCTATGATAAATCGGGATGTCAACATACCTGCAAAAGAGGGAAAGTAGTTCTGAATTACAAATTTACTTCATTCCCTTCTTATATTGTTTACTTGGGGCATTCAGTACATAATTCTAAAGCTTGTTTGACTAGTTGGTATATTTGTAGGTCACCTACTGTATACAACAGAAGCAAACAGCCTGACCAAGGTATTACTGGGGCCTTTTAGTGACATGAATACAAAGTTAGTGATAAATGAGGTTGATGACTGCTTTGCCTTTGTACTGGAAAAAAAAAGGTGAAGGTCATATCTTGAAAAAGGAAGTATATTTTCAGAATGTAAAGAAACTGGAAAAGAAGGTGAAAAAATGCTAGAACATGTAGTCAGGTAGTTACTACTTTTTCAAGCTGATAAAGGAAATGAAAAGGCTATAGAAAGATTTTTTTATAAAAATGCATTACTAAAGATGCAAAAATTGTAAGAAACTGTATGTAACTTGTGTGTTTCCTGAGTTGATCATGAAACATTAGTTACAGTACTTGTAAGCAACAGCATTGCTAGGAAGGATATGAAACTCCAGCAGTCTTTGTACCTGCATTGATAATGAGGAGAAATGTTAACTAATACAACTGACAAATGAGCCTTCATATTTTGTTGAGTTGTTTAGAATCCAGGGATGGTGCTGATCAGGGACTTTGGAAGATATTAGGCCTTCCCAAATGTTAGTTTCATGGTATGCTTCTGGATTTCTGCACTAGGAGATACCTTGACTGAGTGTGAGGCTCATTAGCTGGTACTCTGTCATGAAACTGCTGAACATACTGAAACTCCTTTTGGGTTTTCTGTTCCCTCCCATAGGCCATGTCTGTTCTAGGGAAAAAAAATGTGTTAATCAATGTGAAGCTACAGTGAGAAAAGCAATTAAAATAGTAGGATGCCTATCATCATCCCACTCACACACAAGAAAAGAGGGATGCCATTAAAAATTGATACTACTCCATCCTTCCCCAGACAATCAGCTGGCATTGCATCTCTCCTTTCTTCTGCATCTCTGAAGTACAGCATTCCCAGTATGATTTTATACCTTTCCCCACTCTCAAACCCAGATACACCTCTGGTATTTGCTTCCGTCTGATCCCAGACATGTCATCCTATCTTCCTCTCCTGGCTAAGAAATGTCACTCAGAGTCCAGAAACCTCAAAAACTTCTCTTTCTGTAGCATGTTTCAGTATCATAGTACCCCCAGCTGCACACATGAACTGATTCACACAGAGCCTGTAGGTTTGGCCAAGAATGGGATGGACATATATCCCATTGGAGAGAGTGACCTTTGGAGTTGGCAAGATAATAGATCAGGTGACTAAGAGGGAAATAGATAACATGAAATGGATATCTGTAAACAGGCTTTCAGAAAGTTCTGGATTTCTCTAATATTATTTATAGCTTAAAGGACTTGTCCCACATGTTTCTATGAATACTGCAGGTTGAACCCAGACGAGGTAATTAATTGCACAGGTTAGTACTTGCCTAGTTTGTTTCTATGATTGATTTAAAGAAAGGTTATGAGCAAATATCTTTGACTGGTGGTGTCAGCCTTCAGTTCCCCTCTAGGTTGTTTGAGATTTCTAAACTATCCTTTTGCACACTCGATGTAGCTACAACTTTCCAGGGAATGGTAAGCAAAGTGCTGGAGGGACTAAGTGAATTCACTTTTGCTTTAACTGCTGTTAAACCTGAGAAAACCAAACCTGAGATTACCACTGGGGCTGCCCTACTCCCAAACTGGGGCAACCACTTATGATTCATAAAGGAAGCAATCTACATGAAGACCTGACTGTAAAAGCTGAAAAATGCAAGTTAGAAACACCTTAGGCTGCAAACTTAGGGCATACACGGGAGAATGGAATAATTAGACCAAGGTAAGCACTTTGTAATTGGTCCACTCTACCAAATATCAGTTGGTCTTTCTGATTCTGAAAAGGGAGTTTGTAAATGCAGATCACAACAGATAACATGATAAACACCAGTGTGTTGAACTTTGGCTTATAGTGCTG